TGGGGCGGAGCCCGCGGCGGCGGGCCCACCCGGCAGCCCCCAGCTGCTCTACCACAGGCGTCTCGCCCTGCTGGGGGAGCGGGAGGAGGGGGCGCACTAGCTGCTCCCCTCCCCCCAGCAGACCAGGGAGACGTGGAGCAAAGCCGCTGAGGACCCGGGCGGGGGGACCACCCAGACACGCCGCGGTCCCCCCGCCTGGGTCCTCCGCGGCTTTGCTCCGTGTCTCCCTGGTCTGCTGGGGGGCGGCCCCGGGGGGGCCACCCCCACAGCAGACCAGGGAAACGCGGAGCAGCTTTTTTCGCCCCGGAGGATGCAGGCTGCGGGACCGCGGCCCATCTGGGCGGTCCTGCCGCCCGCGTCCTCCAGGGCGAGAAAAGATCCGACATAAGACTGCCTGTAATAGAAAGAAACACTCTTAACTTGGGAGAGAGAAAATACTTTGAGAGGCATGATGGAAAAACTATGGGTGTGTCTGCACTGCACCTGTATCTTGAAATAAGCTATGCAATTTGAGCTATACAAATTGCATACCTTATTTTGAGTCAATCTGGGAATAGTTTATTTAATAATTTCAAAATAATCTGTTATTTCAAAACATCCCTTAATCCTCATGGAAGGAGGTTTACAGGGATGTCAGAATAGCGAGCCCATTATATTTCAAAATAATGGTTGCACTGTGAAGATGCAGGATAGCTATTTCGGGACACCTCTGCAGTGTAGACGTTGCTTAAGTGACTAGAAGTGGCTCTGAGTTGTGATCTTGTTAGATTTCATAAACTAAACAGGATTGGTACTGGTCTGTACAAAGATGGGAAACTTATTGGAAGCAGTGACACAATACTTCAGTATGTTGTTCAAGGGCACTGCAGTAGCTGTCTCTAGAGCTGAGTGATATTTTCCTGCTAAAACTTTTTCTTTGCTAAAAGCTACAGTTTTGTGTCAACTGAAACATTTCATGAGTTTGTGCTGATTCACTGGCTGGTTTAAGTTTAAAAAAAGAGATGTGTTTCAACTTTTTTTTTAAATACATCATCTCAATTTTTCAACTCAAAACAAAGTTTGCTTAGAATTTTACTTTCATTTTATTTTTAAAAGTTTTTATAAAACCTCAAATGAAATTTTGACCCAAAACCATGTGTGTAAAATACTTTGATTTGGAATTAATCTTTTTTAAAAAAATATTGGTTGAATTGTTTTGAATTAGTGTGTGTATGGGGCGGGGGGGACTCAAATTGAAACAAACTTTTTAGACAATTCCCCCCCCTCCCCCCACTCCTGTCCCACCTCTTGCTTGGCCAGGAAACTGAAAAAAAAAATCTGTTATTTGCACAGCTCTGGGCCTGTCTGTTTGTGCTTGGTAAAGATCCTAGGATATTTTGTGTACCTATGAGTGCTAACCCTGATACTCTAACCAGTTCCAGATTGGATATTTACATTTTACTTTCCTGAAATACCTTTGTACTCTTGCGCTATCTATGATGCTTTCCATTTGCTGCCAGAGGTGAATGATTTTCTGTAGAAGAAGATGTGACTTTATATGCATATGTGGTATTGTTTAGCCATGTTGTTCTTGATATTAGAGAGATAAATATGTGTATCACATAGGGTATGTCTACACTACAGCGCTAATTCGAACTAACTAAGCTAATTCGAACTAACGCATCTAGAACTAAAAACTAGTTCGAATTAGCATTGTTTAGCCATGTTGTTCTTGATATTAGAGAGATAAATATGTGTATCACATAGGGTATGTCTACACTACAGCGCTAATTCGAACTAACTAAGCTAATTCGAACTAACGCATCTAGAACTAAAAACTAGTTCGAATTAGCATTTTGCTAATTCGAACTAGCATGTCCACATTAAGTGGACCCTGAACCAGGGTTAAGGATGGCCGGAAGCAGTGCCGGCAGGGCATCAGAGGAGGACTTAGAGCGTGGAGATGCTGTCTCAGGCTAGCCGAGGGCTGCGCTTAAAGGGACCCGACCCCCACCCCAGACAGACAGTTCTCAGGGGTGCCCCGCTTGCAAAGCAGTCCTGGCTTGGAGTGCCCTGAGTGCCCA